TAGCAGCATGCTTGCATTCTGTCCATGAGATCGCGGGTCGATCGATGGATTCGGGCACTGCTGATGAAACCCAACCAGGTCGAAAAGGCTGTGCAATAGTGCTTCCTGGCTTTTCAGTTCACGCTTTATTTTCTCTATGCACATGACAAATTTCCTCTCTGATGTTGTTCTGCCACAGATTGACCTGTCGAACATTCATTGTGAACATCTTTTCCACACACACACACACACACACACACACACACACACACACACACGCATACTCTTCGCACCACTGTCCCATTGTTCGTGCTCCCTCATTCCCCGTAATTAGTCATCTTCATTCTGCCATTGATCTGTACACATGACTGTGCTACATGCCGTTTGTACGTATGCATGCACTGTTAGCATGTTAACTTCTATAGGCTGCCCTCTATGCTGTCCTCATCTGTCTCATCACTCCGTGTCCATATTACTGATTGACCTTGACACCTGTCTGTCCGAAGACATCCACCCACACAGGCTTACCGCATTTTGATTGGTTCCCCATAGGTCACGTCCCAACACTGACTATCACAGACTCATGTGACCCTGTTTGATATCGTCTGGTTTATTATTCACTCCATTGTCACTTCACTGCACCCTTGTTTGCTCTTAGTCCCTATGTGTCTCTACGTCAAATCACAAACCCGAAACACCGCCATCCTACACTAGTGGGACCAGCACCTGGACAGGTTCAATTGGGGATATGGTTACATAACCATGACATACTAAATCAGAACTATCCAGGTTCAGATCTGAAGTAGCGACTTAGCCCCTCGATCAGGTAGAATTATTACAAAAGCTAGACCACCCTCTAACATAAAGACCCTACTCCATTGGGCACAATCAAGTGTACCGTCGAGATTTAGCATACATAGCCATTATTTCGCGATAGGGAAAGTTTCTTCACTAGGTATAGCAAATTGAACATTTCCAGAATGAAGTTTTATTTTAAATATTGCCGTGCTCATTAAAAAGACCGCACCGATATGATTCCCCTGCGGTGGTCTAGCTTTGTATCACACCCTTGCTCTGCTCTGTTCTGCTCTGCTTAGATGTACTTTTAGAGTTCCGCTGACGCGTTGCTAACATATTAGCCTAAGCTAGCGAAACTTACTTCCAACAGTTGGGAAGTTTTAGCATCCAGCGTTTCTATAATCCCAATCTTTGGTCCTATTTTCCTCCCGGGGACAGACATTTAGAAAGAACGTGAGCGAACGTTAGTAACAGATTCTGACGAACATTAGCAACCGCCAAGTCACTAAAGAACCATAGTTTGAAGTTTACGTGGATTGTTATAGCCTGTGAAATCAAAAATTACATAAATTATGGCGAACTGTAATTTGATGCAACGATGGCTCATGGGATAGTTTTCTGGAGATTCTGTTACACCAAACCATTTGGGTAGCTTAACTGACTTCTTTTGAGTTCCCAACTCTTGTAATAGGGTAATTTGATTTCTTGAATGTCTCACTCGAATGATGTCAGCCGAAGCGTGATTATCGGCAGCAAGGTTGACGTAATGTGAGACCCAGTTCAGGTTCCAGTTACGAATTCCATATATATATATATATATATATATATATATATATATACCACCGGCTTGAAAACAGGCATGGTGCCAACGCAACAACAATGACAGTGAAAGGGGATAGGTGGATTAAGATACAGAACATGGTGAAAAGTGGGTGAGACAGTTAAACATTGGAAAATACAAGATAAC